AGAGAGAGAGAGAGAGAGAGAGAGAGAGAGAGAGAGAGAGAGAGAGAGAGAGAGAGAGAGAGAGAGAGAGAGAGAGAGAGAGAGAGAGAGAGAGAGAGAGATATGGGACAATTTCATCCCTACAGGATTAACCATACACTTCTCATGTTAATAATCAAACCCTTTTTTCAATGTTTTTTTTCAACAATTACCTTTGTAAAATTATCAGTGAATCCATCCGTATTAATGGTCTCCAGGCGATAAATAACACCATGGTAATTGGAATTTTATTTGCTAGTATTTAAACCTGCAACAGTAGTATACATTCAGTTGTATAATCTGCGTGTAAATAAATACTCGTATGATTTGATTCATATTTTTTGTGTCTGCATAGTGTATGTGTTTATATCCCCCGTCATACACTGTGTAGTGTTTGTTATGTATGGATGACAGGGGGGGGGAGGGGGGAGTGTGTGCTTTGTGTGTCGTATGTATTCACCTATTTGTGCCTGCAGGATCGAGCTGTTAGGTATTTAAGTCTACCTTTTCACCTATTGGTTGTCTAATGTACTGAGTGCCGACCTGTTTTCTCTATAATATTTACAACTCCAGGATGCAGCTCACAACACCTAACTCACAGGTACCTAGTAGTAACTATACCTTCTTTCAACTAGTTGTAGGTAAAGTGAACAGATGCATCAGATGAAAGGAAACGTTGACCAAACGCTTCAGTTCTGCCACAGGAATTTAAGACAATATTCTTGGTTATGAGACGAGGACAAGGCCCACTGGACCATAGTACCCTGTGTGCGTGTGTGTGTGTGTGTGTGTGTGTAATTACCTAATTGTACCTAAAAATAAATTACCTAAAATTACCTAATAAATTTTTAATTACCTAAAATGTGTGTGTGTGTGTGTGTGTGTGTGTGTGTGTGTGTGTGTGTGTGTGTGTGTGTGTGTGTGTGTGTATATATATATATATATATATATATATATATATATATATATATATATATATATATATATATATATATATATATATATATTTATATATATATATTAATTATCATATTAAACATTATAATAACTGCTAATCTTTGTCATTGTGTTGCGTAACTCGTGTCAGTATTATACTCGAGTAGAAGAGCAATGAGCTATCGTAACTCCTTGATGAAGGAGCTATCGTAACTCCTTGATGAAGGAGCTATTTTAACTCCTTGATGAAGGGACTATCGTAACTTCTAGATGAAGTAGCTATCATAACTTCTAGATGAAGAAGCTATCGTAACTTCTAGATGAAGGAGCTATCATAACTTCTAGATGAAGAAGCTATCGTAACTTTTAGATGGAGCTATCGTAACTTCTAGATGAAGGAGCTATCCTAACTCATTGATGAAGGAGCTATCGTAACTTCAAGATGAAAGAGCTATCGTAACTCCTTGATGAAGGGCTATCGTGATTTAAAAGCTGCTGTATTAACTTCGATCCACGAGAGGATTTCCAAACTTAGAATGATGCAAAGTTGATTTGACGGAGAGAAGTGCTATCATAACTTGAGGTACAGGAGCAATAGGGCTATCGTAATTTTAGTAAGGGGTAATCGTGGCTTTATGGAGAAGGTTGTGGTGATTGTGCTCTCGCAACTGGCAGGGGAAAGGTGCCTCTTCTCGGTGCGACTTAGGGAGGTTTGAAGAAGAGCATTGGGAAAGAGATGGTGGAGTAGTGCAGGGAAGAGAAGGGGTGGAAAGGGAGAAGGTGATGGGAGGAGAGAGGATGGTAACAGAGGGAATAGGATGGTTAGGGATGGAAGGAATGAGGTTAGGGGGGGGGGGGAGGAGAGAGAGGGGGGAGGGGGGGTATGGTTCACTGTCCGGATTAGCGAGCATTACCGGCCTGTGCTCCAGCCGGAAAATTAATGACACATAAATATCGTGTGTGTGTGTGTGGTGTGGCGGGCCGAGCATGACACATGGCCGGCCAGCTCCCCCGCGCCTCTTGCTCGCCCGCCTCGGCCACACTCTGGCCACTGTGGCAGGTGTGGAGCCACGAGAGCCAGGTCAGGTGTGTGGCCAGGAGACAGAACCAATTGGGAAGCTAGGAGACAGCACCAGCTGGGAGGCTAGGAGACAGCACCAGCTGGCAGGCTAGGAGACAGAACCAGCTGGAAGGCTAGGAGACAGAACCAGCTGGGAGGCTAGGAGACAGAACCAGCTGGAAGGCTAGGAGACAGAACCAGCTGGGAGGCTAGGAGACAGCACCAGCTGGGAGGCCAGAGTAATGATATCTCATTTGTGGTCAATTAGCCCTCAATGAGCTAAATTCTCTTAATACAACAGAAATACAACTAATACAATACCCTAACATGTTATCCATGATTCTAACGCAAAAATAGTTGGACATTCCTCTTCCTTTTGAAAAAAATAAAGACACATAGTTTTCAAGACAATAAAAGTATTATTAAACCACATACGTTGTGATATTATGAGAATTATGAGTCAAATAATTTGCACAGAGCTCATCACTCGTGTTCAATTATTTTGCTTTTCAAAAGCAATTGGACGTCTAGGCAACTGGCCTAAGGTTGTACTGCAACAAGGTGTTTAGGTCTATTTCTAACGCTAGCTTGGCGCACCTAGGATCTAGGTGACTCCTCTTCCCAGCTAGGCCCTAGGGGGGATTTATCTTTCCAGCTGGAGACATTCTAAGTGACTCTTATGCCCACCACAGCCCAGGTGGATTACACAGGTGAGTCCTCGCTTCAGTAATCCCTGATAACGCCCACGTTCACTGTCCCTTCCACGCCCACGCCCACACTCGGCAATCGTCCGTCCTCATTACCAAGTAAAGAGGTGAGTACCTTACGTTATCTAGCTCAATCATCCGAGCGCGCCCTACCCTGACTCACAGTGGGTACTACCCACGTAGGGATAGTACCCATGAAGAGTACCCAGCGATAGAATCCGGAGATATATTCCTGAGACAGTTACAAGATGGATAATACCCGTGTTAAGTGACCCATGGATAACACCTTTGGATAGTTCTCAGGTTTACTAACCGAGGATACTATCCAGGAATAGCTCACGGGAATAGAATCCAGGGATAGTACATGATTCCAAAATATAAGGATAGTACGCTAGGTTAATACTCAAGGTAGTAAAAAGTGGAGATATAATCTAGATATATTTCCCACTGGTGGGATAGTAAAAGACGCTACATAGGATAGTAAATAAGACCTGTACTCTAGAGACTATCCGCGGAGAGTATCAATGGGTAGTATTCAAAATTATATATAATGTATATTTTCCAAACAATGGCCAAGTATCCTGAGGTTACTATCCACGTATCTTGCCCTGGGATAGTATCCCAGGACAATGAAGGAGGATAGTCCCCCCCCCCCCAGGGATTGTACACACAGATAGTCCATCAAACAATACCAAATTATTGTGCTCAGTGACGACCTCTAACGGCAATATCCAGGAATATGTACCAACATATATCCTATCCACCTGCCCCGCCGTATATCCTCCTATCCATCGTCCTGCCGCCCTCCTATCCCCGAGCCCCTCGTCAAGGACACCTCGGTGTAGGCGTCTGCTGTGGATAATGAGGTCGAGACAAGCCGCAGGACGCGTACTCTATAGATCAGCTTTATTATGATGTATTTTGATACTGTGGGCAAGGCGCCCGCTTAGAGGGGCACAATAGGTGAAAATGAGCCATAGTGTTGGGTTATATATTGCCCAGCGTGTAAATAACACTGCCATTATTGAAGTCAAAAGTTTATGAATGCAATTTCGGTCTCATTGAAGCTCATTCATATTACCCAATTAGCACACCTGACCCCGGTAAAGTCCCAAGAAATTGGCATTCAATCTTTCTTCCAATTTTCAACATGTGAAATTTTGTTCTATAATTTTTTGGGGCGTGTTTTTTTGGTTTTGAATTGTAAAGTATATACATTTGGTGAGGACAGGTAGGCGTGAATGATCACTATAGCCGTGGGCTACTGAAAGACATAATGGCTCCGCTTATTTACCGACCAACACAAACAGGGGACAAGCTTATGGGCAAGAGAGAGAGGAGAGTCAGTCAGCCAGCTCTAACACACTCTGCCTCTTCCCTCAATTGATGAGCCACAAGTCTAGCCAAGAGGGAGCTATCTTATGAAGTAAGGCGCCCTAGTCTCCAGGTAGGACGGTACCTTACACCTTGCTAATGAAGGAGGCGCCGCTGGTACCGAAAGGTGATGCAGGCAGTGTTGTCATTCCTGGCGCTAATGGCATTCGCAGAGAAGTTATGGGGAGAACATTTACCGCTGTTACAGTCCTAGAGAGGGACGTTAATATGAAGGTGAAGAGATGAGGCATCTCCCACTTGGCTAACGACGCAGGCCCAGAAGGGGGCTTGTTGATCATGGCTCCACCTAGCCGGTGCTGTAGACTTTCTCAGCAAGGCTTTACTGCTACACCGTGTGTGTGTGAAGCTGAGACTGTCGCATGGAGGGCTGTGGAGTGGCTGAGATGAAGGTATCTGTCACTGGCGCCTCTGGGCCAAGCTGGAGTTCCAAGCTCTAAGTCCCTGGACAAGATGAAATGGGGTTACTGTCAGAGGAAGGTCAAGTAGCACATGACCTCTCATCAATAAGGAAGCAGGTGTTGAAGCAGGTGCTAAAGCAGGTGTCCCAGCTACCCTGGTACGCCCTAGTGGAAGACGTGAGAGGCCGCTCACAAATGTATTTTAAGTGGCATGATTTCACAGATGTATTTTGTATTTATCGATGTTGTAGTGGTCTCAAGAAGGCAACAGTGACAGCAGTAAGAGCAGCAGAGCGAGCTGGCAGTGACAATACCAAGCGGTAGGAACAGTGACAGCAGGAGCAGGGTGAGTGGAGCCAGCAGTGACACCCTGGGCGGTGAACACAAGTCACAGTACAAGGGTGTCTGAGTGAGGCCGGGTCATACGAGAGAGAGATTGAGAGCTCCGTAAATTTCATTTATCTGTGGATGTGGCGTAGATTGTAAATGCTACTCGCTGGCCCACGCCCACGGCCCCACGCCCACGGCCCCACGCCCACGGCCCCACGCCCGCTGTCACACGCCTACTGCCGCTACCACGCCCACTGCCGCTACCATGCCCACTGCTGCTACCACGCCCACTCCCGCTACCACGCCCACTCCCGCTACCACGCCCACTCCCGCTACCACGCCCCTTCTGCTACCACGCCCACTGCCGCTACCACGCCCACTGTTGTTACCACGCCCACTGCTGTTATCATACCCTCTTCTACCTCCTGGGGAATGCAAGAGGGTACACGGACAATAAGAAAACTAGAAGAGAAAATTACGAATGTGGTGGTGGCAGTGGGCGTGGTGGTGGTAGTGGTAGTAGGCGTGGTGGTGGTGGTGGTAGTAGGCGTGGTGGTGGTGGCGGTAGTAGGCGTGGTGGTGGTGGTAGTGGGCGTGGTGGTGGTGGTAGTGGGCGTGGTGGTGGTGGTAGTGGGCGTGGTGGTGGTGGTGGTGGTAGTGGGCGTGGTGGTGGTGGTAGTAGGCGTGGTGGTGGTGGTGGTAGTGGGCGTGTTCGACACCCATAGCCCAGAGCAGAGCAGCTGCCACAAGAGTACTGTAACCCACACAATAACGAGGTGGATGAGCCCAAGCCAACTGTCGGAAAATCCGACACCATTTAATAATCATACAGATAATAGCTGTATTGTATAAACAAGTTAACCCATAGAAAACGTAACTTGTAGTGGAATTACCGTCTAAAGAAAACGGGATATCATCACCATATACTATTATATTCACCACCTATTATGGTGGGAATTATTCTTAAATACATTAGTCTTTGGACCTTACCATCATAAAACATCTGATATAAATTAACTTAATTATCAATATTAAAGTAGAGTAAATGTGACCCTTCTATCACTTATTGACATCTGGACAATGTAGGCCAGGCGTCAGTGAGGAAGGAGGGGCAGCCATTGTTGTGTCACCTCTGAGACGCGTGGAGCAAATTCGGCTCCTATCATATCTGGACAATGTCGGCCAGTAGCGTCAGTAGTATGGAGTGTTAGACATTATTGTTATATTAGACCAGAGGCTCACGGGAGCAAATTCGGCTCCTGTTAATTTTACTTGGACGTAGTGTTATGGAAACCAAAGGTGTACCATTATCAACACGCTGTCAACAAATCAAGTTAAGTGTTCTTCCGAAACCCATGTATCTTTCATTTATGGCCATTAATGTCATTATATAGGGTGACCCAGTTAGAGCACGTGGTAGCCTCAAACTAAAGGTAATTAAGCCAGGTCTTCATTGTTCCATGTACAGTATTTTCTCTGATATACCTGTCATATATAGGATTCTGGCTTTACAGCTAGCGCCCTTTTGACAGGTCAAGACGAGGAAGCATGCTTTGTGCATCAGTTACCAGGGTGATGGAAGCTACCTCAAAGAGGGAAAATGTGGTGTCTACACCCTAGTTATACCTGGTGGTTATACCTGCTGTTCAAATAAGATAAGGAACCTCTTCAATGTATGTAGTCTAATACTGTAGTTTGATTGGCTGCATATATATAAATTAATATAAACCCCCCCTAATGTGTAGAGGATCGATTTGTGAGATTATGAGATTATTGCAGAAATACAGTCCACTTAACATTATACAAATTGCTATCGAAGTATATAAATTAACGTAAATATAAATTCATATAAATTAAATAAATATAAATCTCACAGGTCGGTTCCCACACCAACAAACCCTTGGGCCAACAGGCAATGCAGAGAAGAAAAAAAATGATAATATTCAGACAACTGAGAATGGAAGACAACAGAAAACCACTAAAAATATCCTGAAAATGAATACACTAGAATCAGGCGAGCAGCCGAGAGGCACTTTCAGAACGACAGTGGCAAAATACCAATCAAAGTTATCGCATCACCATATATGAATACAAGAGTAAAACATCATATGATCAGGATGAACAAACAAGGTGGTATCCTCACAGAAAGCGACAAGGAGGTGTGTGAGAGTTAGTTTCAAAGGGTCTGAAGAACAGTGGAGACTGTTCTTGGAGACTGAGTGTTCTTGGAGGCGTCTCTGCCTCTTGAGGCGTCTCAAGCCTCTGAGTGTTCTTGGAGGCTTGGAGACTGAGTGAGGGAGACGACAGTCGACGAGAAGCATCGTAGATGATATGGTAGACACTGAAGAAGGCAAACATCACGTGGAGGAACTAGACACGACAAAAGCAGACCCAGACTATGACTTCATCGGGTCTGCTGAGGAGGCTCCAGCAGGACCCAAAAATCCCCAAAATATTTACTAAAAAAATCCGCTAAAAAAATCTAAAAGCTCAACCCCCAAAATCAAATCTACTAAAGCCCCAAAATCAAATCTACTAAAGCCCCAAAATCAAATCTACTAAAGCCCCTAATGCCCCAAAATCTACTATAGCCCCAAAATCAAATCTACTAAAGCCCCAAAATCAAAATCTACTAAAGCCCCTAATGCCCCAAAAT